GGGGGGCTTGTTCTCCGAAAAAATTTCCCCTACGCTAGGATGTGCCTTGATCACATACACATGCCACATGCACGGTCAGGGATTCATGTCCTGGATCGACTTCCGCTCGCGCCAACCGAGTATTCCATGTTTCCGACGTCGGTTGTTGGTAGGATTTGTCCGGCAGCGTGAAACGCTGATTTCTCGAATTGTATTCAGAAGAACAATCGCAATTCGCCGCGTCAGTGGGCGTCTCGTGCGACGTCGCGCCCGCTAAACGACTATTTTGAGTGGTGTCAGTCGAGATAGACAATGTATGACCAAAAATGGACATAAGTGTCTGCTATGCCCTTGTCTACTTGAAATCCGTCCAATCGAAAGGCTAGCGCAATTGAGGAAACGTCACACCCATTGCCGCGTGACGAAACGGCAATTTACGATTCTCTTGTCCGTATTCCCCATTTCCTGTTTCAGCGGAATGGGTGGCGCATCCCAGGAGGGGTGATCAACGCCGAACGGGACAACGTGATACGTTGGGAGTGAACAGTGAGGGAATTCGTACTTGGACGCGGGAGGGTTAGTGGTCGTCATTCACTCCTTCGTGAAAAATGTTTACAGCGATTTTTTTCCTGGATTTTTCTCGTTTCATTACTGCTTATACCCCTGCAACCCTTTCCCATCCAAAAAGTAAGGTGCAGGGGATCAAAAATTGGGGATGGGGAATGGTGGCGGTCGCACCAGAGCAGGAAACTTTGGGGAAGGGGTCGTGTTTTGGGAATTTTCTCTTTCCTCCAAGGCAGGACAAGCCCTGATCCCATAGGTTTATCCGAGTAAATGTTGTAACAGTAAATGTTGCACGATTATCCAATGAAGACGATCCTGAATTCAACTCCGAACGACCACTACTAATTGTAAGAACAATGACAGGGATCGAAGTGATGAACGATTGCGTCGCCAGTCAATTGGCGCCGAAAGGCCGGAGGTCGGCGGGGAGGAGTGACCGCGCTCGTCCGTTTCGATGACTCAATCGGCCGCCTGGCGCCGCCATCCTCACACGCAACCATTGCCTGCACGCTGAGTGGTCGTTGTTTCGTTTCGTTCATTTCGTTCTCTTCCCCTTCACTATCTTTAGTTTGATAATTTCGCGTTTTTGTTGAGGATTGCAGCGGAGATTTCGAGCTCTCAAGAGGGAGAGGGTGCGGGTGGTGGGGGAGGGGGAAGGTGAGTAGCGTACACGGAAGGGAAAAAATTGTAAGAGCCGGCAACTGAAAACGTTTTTCTCAGAAGCGATTATGACCCCCCCCTTCCCTACAGCGACCAAATACGATCCCTTTGCTGGTGGACCCTAAGTACGACTTGTCCTGGTGCCGAAGCTTCAGCTAAGTGGGGCAAAAAGGAGGGGTGGGATAGTTTTCGATCATTCGCTCCATAGCAGGGGAAACAAGAACTGAACGGCTCGTTCGGATGCATTCTCATCGGTTGTCATTTCATCGGCACATTGTTCGCAATTCAGACTTCTTTTGTCATCATCCGATTCGCATCTTCCACTTACTGTACTGATGGGTTTAGTATTCAACGGACATTGTGTTGAACAGGCTCTGCAGCCGAATAGTACCTTGTGTTTTTCGCGGCTACCAACACTCTTTTGCGAATAAAAAAAAATTGAACGGGAGCAGTTCGGCGATGGAGGAGGGGGCATTTTGCACTTTCGCTGCTTCACTACTTCCGATTTACATGTCTCTGGTGAAACCTGTGAACTCTTGTGAAGCTGGAGCAAGCTCGTCTAGCCACCGTGGTAAAACCTGTCAACTTGAAACACGCCCCCTAGATGCGTCGATGGGAAGTAGCAAAAGTGTAAAATGCCAACCCACCCTGTCGCGGAACTGCCCCTTCAAATGCTTTGAAGAAATGGGCTTCATAATACTCGTTCAAGGCGGATGCTGGGACGTATGAAGGAGAGGGAAAGGTGGAAGCTGGGTTCAGCGCAGCAGCAGCCTGTACTTCACTATTTGGATAGGGCAAGCGACAACAATTTGTAGAAAACGGATTGCCGCCAGCCCTCTGACACGCCCCAGTATCCTTAGCGAACAAGACTATTTCGTCAACCTCGGCGCTCATAAGTGAGGGAGGCTTGACAACATAAAAACGGTATAGGGAAGGCATTGACAAAAAAATGAAAGGGTTCTGTACGGTGTAAGCTAGCTATACGACCCATTCAGATCGGCAGTTGTTCAGTGGACCCAACGAGGAGGAATTAAGAAAGACAAATCTATTAGAAAAATATTCCCCAAAAGCATCTGCGCATTGCAGCAGACGAACAATCACCCTTGTAGGGCTCCTCAGTACTAATACTTTTCCAGTACTACTTGTGGCACTCCTTGCTCATGGCTGCACACTTCTTTCCGCTGTTCCGAAGTTTACAGCATCGGAGCTGACTCACCATTGCTCACACCTTATCGCAAGCTGCCCGTTATTCTTGCCATTCTTTCAAAGCTGTCTATTTTCTAAGTGGTATTTCAGACATCTCGGGTTTCCGAAGTTTCTGCCATAGCACCCATAGATGTACTCTAACTCGATTGAGGACTGGAAGTTATTTTGACTCGAATGAAGTGAACTTGAGTTCGAAAATAAATGACATGAATTTGGGTGCTGTTCGGCTTAGAGCGAGGGGGAGGGGGCACTTTCCACTTTTGCTGGTTTCTTCTGCTCGTTACTGTTGAATTATACGTCTGATGACTCTTGCCTTCAGAAGTATAATTCAAGTGTAAACGACGCTCCTGCAGCCTCATAGTTTCACAGGAATTTGCAGGCCTGCACTTGAGACATCAGCAATGATCGATGGTAACCCGCAAACTGACCCCCACCAAGCGGAACTTCCCTTGAATTTGCTTCACCCGATTAATTTTGAAATATAGACATCCTAAAAAGCTTAGGCAAATAGTAGGGCAGAACGAATTTCTTGGTTGCTGTGGTAACCCAACCCTAAAAAGAAAATGCGGCTATTCTAATCTCTAATCTTAACAACTTGCTATTTTTGAACAGAAAAATACCTAAATGTCAAGTTCCCATGGCAGCCACATCACACCTTATTTGGATCGCCACGAAAAGTAACTAGTAATGACAAGGGGAACACTAGATTCCCTAATGGGACTTTCACACCACAGATGGATTGTTTGAGGTAATTAGGGCATTTTCCAGAACATTTCTCGTCCACGATGACCCATCTGCCATGATTACAGCTCTCTTCAGCTTCAGAAAAAAGGCAGATACTGGAGGGAGAGCTCTCGGCTTATTACAAGCTTTGGACATAACTCGGGGAACTAGTGCATCCAGGGCTTTATGCTTATTAGGCAGCCATAAAACTTGGGAGCCAGGACGTGTTCTAGTCCTAGTAAAGGGAAGGGCAGGCACGCCCTACTATTTCAGAATGTGACTTCTCGAAGTCCGCTGAGTGGTGGGAGTTTCCTACCGCCCGAAAACTATGATAACTCAGAAATAAATTTGCGGCGCTGTCGGCAAGGCGGGAGGAAGATGTAAGCAGGAAATGACTGCCAGTTCCCCTCTATTGCAATCCGTCATGACACTTCCCATTCCACTTTGAATTTAGCGCAACTAGGCTTGCGTGGTAAGTAAATAAATTACTATCTAATATTTACTTAACTGAGACCGAGGTGGTGTAGTGGTCACTGACAGACTTTCCAAAGGCGCGGTTCGAGGATCAATTCCCAGCTCGCCTCCCATCCAGGCCAGTCTGCCCTCCTTACTCCGGGGACGGAGAACTGGTACCAGATATGTCTGGGAGGATTGTATGGGCCACATCGTATTCAATAATACACTGCGATACTGAATGGGAGTAGGCTGCCGGCTGCTTCTCAAAACGATTAACGGCAAAACTGTCCTTTTATATAGCTAACAAATAAAAAGCGATTTTGGGTTATTTTATGATGAAAACGAAACCAGCGAAACTCCCGATTTTTCACTAGAAACGAATGATTAAACCTTACTTGCTCTTCGCACATTTCCGTTGGCTGATGGCTGCCCGCTGGCGAGACCTTTATTAGCAGGTTTATGGGCTTCATTGTCCAGCACGTCAGAACACCTGAAGAACACAACCTCCTCCTTTGTTATTACCACTCTATCTTTACCAAAGCACGTCGCACTGGGGAATCCCGAGCGGGGGGGGGGGAGTCGTATTTAATCTGGGAAAATCTTCAGATAGGTGATTTTGTTGTTTCACGATATCCATATCGTTGGGGAAATCACAAGGGTGGAAAAGGTATTTGCCTTCGAGAGAAATTTGCCACACTGGGAGAAGCTTTTTTTCCGTTGTTCACTCATCGCGGTTTCTTCCGTTTCACATGTGCGATTGATCCTACCTCCTCCCCCCTCCCCCCACTTTCTACGGCACATTAGGGGGGATAAACGGCAAGTTTTGGAGAGTTGTAGGAATTTGGTAGAGCCTAGGAAACCCTAAAAAGTGGTAGGTAAGCATGGGGGAAGGGGAAGGGGTCGCACCAAGATGGTATTAGGAATGGGTCGCACTTCCCGAAAAATTCACCACCAGCAAGACGTGCCCCGACCCAAGCACTTTTGTGATATTACTCTCTCTAACTGGTAAGAAGACAAAGTATCGAGTTACCTTTCGCTTCGAGCGGCGGGTGAGCTCAAATGGTTCTCGACCCCCAGCCGGCAGAATATGCTGGAGGACGACCAGCGCGGGAAACCAATACCACCAGGGGGGAGAGGCAGTGTGTAGCGGGTGGAGACCCAGAGAAGAGGGTCGATTTCAAATTTGGCGCTCGCCGAGAAATATGGGCGGTGATTGTCCAGCCCCTCGTCGCTGATTGGTCATCGGCGTTGAGAGGCACCCTTTTCGCACTATGATTGGTTTCGGACACCACCCCTACACGTTCATTTCGTGCTATGTTCGTCGTGTGTTTGTTGTCTTTCCTCTTGGATTTTGATTCACACTTGTCCTTCGTTTCAGCCTTCTCCACAACCCACACCAATCCATCCATAGAATGCGTGAGATCGTCCACGTTCAAGCCGGACAGTGCGGAAACCAGATCGGAGCAAAGGTGGGTGGCGTTTCAAAGTTTTTCAGGGTGATTCAGAGAGTCTAGGGCACTTGTCAACCGAGAAGCCTCTCATCTCTTTCATTTTTCCTTCCCTTCTTTTCCTTCCTTCCTTCTCTGATCCCTCCTCCTTTACCTTCTCCCTCCAACTACTGGACTGGTAGATGCCTCGTGAAAATACCCCTGGACCCTCGCAGCGAGAGCACGTCTGGTTGACAACAGCCCCGTAACCGATTCAGAGCCCTGGTCCATATATCGAGCAATTTTATGAAGCGCGGTAAGGAAATAATCTGCACGCAGTGAATTTTACGAAGTGAGGAAGACGCTTTGGTGCTAACGTATTTGGGGGGGGCTCGCGGCGAGTGATGACTCATCGGCTCTTCACTCATTGACATACTTAGAGCGCTAATCTAGCAGCAAAATTAGAATAAAACAAACAAGATTCACCGAATACTTGCTGAGAAATCCCACAGAAGCTGAAAACAACAAATGTTTGATCTTTTATAGTCAAGAATCAACAAAAAGGCAACAATCGTTTGTATTCTAGGCAAAATCTTCCATCCTACAACTGTTTCTTCGCACTTTTCAGCGTTCAACTGCTTAAGCTTTCAAATATAGCTAGGACGGTGTTATATCCATGTCTTAAACATGAGGTTACTTCTATTTTGCCGAGGAGGAAGCAGAAGAGTCGATGAGTCATCACTCGCCGCGAGCCGCGTGCCCCCCCCCCCAAATACGTTAGCACCCACACGCTTTGTTTGAAGAGATCGGCGTTCACTTGCGCTCTCCTGGCTCTGTCAACTCACAGCTGCCCGCATCCTTCCTTTTTTTCACTCCTCGTTCCCTGTGCTAACGTAGTGTGGGGGGGGGACCCGCGGCTCGCGGCAAGCGGTGACTCATCCGCTCATCGGCATACCGAAGCGCGAATGTAGCAGCCAAACTATTGTGAAACAAACAAGATTCACCGGAAACTTGCAGGGAAATCCCAGAGAAGCTGAAAACAAATTGATTTCGAGTAAGAGGTGAAGTGAATTGGTGCGGTGAAATGCCTCGTGATTTTACTCTCCTTTCTGTGACCGATTGCTGCTGGTGTGCATTTGAGAGTCCGGTGGGATTAACACAAGAGACTCGAGAGTATTTGACCAACAGAAGACCCTTTAGTACGATGCGCAAAAGTCTAAATTCCAACTGACTAAAGATTGTGTATGGTTCTTGGATGACGCTAATTTCCGGCCTTTGCACGGCTTGTAGCAACGTTGCGATGATTCAGTCGAAACTGTCGCCTAGGCGGCATATCAGCGGTCCTTATCTCGGAAATTCCATCGGGAATCATTCAAAAACCTGGTTTGGACAGCATGAAATTTCTTGTTGTCTCTGATCCCTAGCGGACATAGAGTCATGGATATATGAGCTCTGAAAGAGATCACGTTTCTTGTAGCGCCTTTCAATTAAAACGGGCAAAGGGTCGCCCTGAACCATTCCATAGGAATTTATGGGTTGTTGATTTGAGCCAAAGCTTTTTGTGTTCTTCCGAAGGCATTGCTCATTGTCCTGTTTTGTTTTAGTTCTGGGAGGTTATCTCTGACGAACACGGCATCCAGCCCGATGGATCATACAAAGGAGAAAGTGATCTTCAATTAGAACGAATTAATGTGTACTACAACGAAGCTAATGGTAAGTTCCGCAAGAAGTGGGCGCTCCTATATACCACTCCAAATGATTTCAGGAGGAAAATATGTTCCACGAGCAGTACTTGTTGACTTGGAACCTGGAACGATGGACTCTGTTCGATCAGGACCTTTCGGTGCTTTATTCCGTCCCGACAACTTTGTCTTTGGACAGTCTGGAGCAGGAAATAACTGGGCGAAGGGACACTACACAGAAGGAGCTGAACTTGTCGACAGCGTTCTTGACGTTGTTCGCAAGGAGGCAGAAGGATGCGATTGCCTTCAGGTTGGTGTGCTTGACTTCTATTGGCAAATGTGAGGAATGTTTACTTTACTTTTAATTTCAGGGTTTCCAACTCACGCACTCGCTTGGAGGAGGCACTGGATCAGGAATGGGAACTTTATTGATTGCTAAGATCCGTGAAGAGTACCCTGATAGGATCATGTCTTCTTTCTCAGTGGTGCCTTCACCCAAGGTTAATAGTTTGCAGTATCCAAGTTATTCATCCCAGCATGTAGAGTGATGAGGAAATAACGTGAGATTCGCTCAAAAATTGGTCGCCAGTAATCCGTCCTAACTCACACGGAGCACGAGTAAGGTGCCCGGGGATAAAACCGGATTACTCGACCATTTCTTTTTTAAGCATGTCTGAATCTAAAATTGTGCATTCAGGTTTCCGATACCGTAGTTGAACCTTACAATGCCACGCTTTCTGTGCACCAACTTGTGGAGAACACCGATGAGACATTCTGCATTGACAACGAAGCACTTTACGACATTTGCTTCAGGACACTCAAGCTTACTAACCCTACTTACGGAGATCTTAACCATCTTGGTAATCATTTCGTTCTTTGTTCAGTATCATACTGTTGTGTTGTGAGTCAGTGAGTTCGAGGTAATTGGAAAGAGCGAGTGATGTTACATTCGACGTGCATTCCTCATGAGAAGGATATTGCTAGCGCCTGGAATGACTCTTGGTCATGAAGTCGGGATTTCGCAATGGTTGTTAGGGAATGATGAAACCAGTGAGGACATGAGCTATCCTAGGGACAAGGCAGGTTGTATTTTGGGCCTCTTGGAACGCTGGGAGGAGGGTGTTTGCTTCTGTAAAAATCTTTTCGATTGTTGACTTCCCCGGTTCTTTCCAATTTCAGGTGCGCTCTACAACTCCGTCCCTTCTCCGCTCGCCAGCAGTGTTTTGGGGAGAAAGAGGAAAATCTTCGAAAAAAAAAACGAACGGCGAAAGTGACGGTCAGAAGAGGGTGAGGGGGGGGCATATCAGAGGAGGAATTCCGAGCGAGAAGGGTCGTATTTTTGAAGAAAATTCCTCAACGACCGGTCGTGCCCTGGCTATGGAGACGTATGAGAGAAATCAATGTTTTCACTTGCTGTCACTTAGAGAGTATGACCTGCCACAGAAGTTCGCAAAAGTTAGGCCAAGCTGGTCGATGGCGACGGCCCTTCAATGTGCGGGAGAGTTCGAGCTCGATGTCTCTCGAAGTCCATCCTGTGTTACCATTCAATTTCGACGTGTGTCGTGTGTGTCCGACTGGAGTGCTCAATTAAATGAGACAATCGCTGGAATAAGGCGCAAATGATAGGAGCGTCCCATGTTAGCGTATCGATTTCAGTCGGTCCTTTTATGCTGGTTGGCATCATCCTCGAGGACTGGGTTTACGATCGACCCAATGAAATATTCTTTGCGGCTGCCATGACACTGAGTAAAACTGATATAGCGCATACAGAAATAACGGGGATAACGAGGAAAACGCAGAAAAAAGGCGTCTTAGATTGAGTTGGCAGTTTGACTGTCCCTGACATAGGGCACGCCTTGTCGTGGGGAGAAATTCTGCAAAGTGCCATCTCTCCCACCGAAGTTTCCACTTCTTGCACCCCCCCCCCCCAATTTCCCCAGTTTCCCAAAAAATTCCAGCTTTTTTCCAAAACTGGTGCTGAGCATAGGAAGTGAAGAGTTATAGCGTACATGTAAGGC